CTGTTGCGTGCCTCTATTGGGCCGGACCCAGGAAAGCAAATTGGATGTAATTGACCTGACGCCAACGACTAGCGAATTAGTCTTCCCCACCTGCGCTTTCAGCGCGCTGGTCGTCGGTGGAAGATGGGGTGTCCACTCGGGTGGCGTGGGTTTTGGGAAAACATTTACTGCAGCGATCGCGCAGGGGCATTCTGTCAACGGACTCATGCGCCTTAAAGTCAGCTTGGTTCTTCCCAAACGGCCATCCGCAACGGGTGCGCCATTGTTTGGGGGGAAGATCGAGCTTGTAAATTAAAGTTGCATGAAACTTCCCGTCGCGCGCGGTGTTCTGAATGATCACCCCAGGACGGTTGTCGTGCTCAGGGATTTGTGGTATCCCGGCGGCGCAATCATGGAGCATATCTGGCTCCGGGTGCATGAATTGGCTCTTACAGGACGCTATGCGTTGCTGTAAAAGTTGGAGCTGTTCTTGGGCTCTTTGAACGGACATGGTGGCAGTGGATTCAAGGGCCAACTTGTCCAATTGCTTCAGGGGTGCATCCTGAATGTACTGGATGAACACGTCAGAGCCCCAGCGCCCGAACAGTTGGATGCGCCATAGTTCGATGTTGTGCTCGGCCATGAAACGTGCGCCCGTAACCCGTGCAGAGTGCCCCGTAAACATACGGGCGCCGTTGCTGTGAGTCACGGGTAAGCCGAGGTGCATGGCAAGCTGTTCGAAGGTATCGGCCCACCCTTCCTTGGACGCCGGGATCGAGTCGTCCTCTGCGGGGAAGATGGGTTGATCCGGTGCTTCCGGCAGGTTGGCCAGGTGCCCAATCATGACATGGAAAGGGCAAAGGTTGGGTGAGTGCAGCGCACACGAACAGGTGTGTGACCTCTCTGCTCCCAAAGCTGCCTGGTCTGTCTTCGAGCTGGGAAGTCGCCAGGTGACTCTGCAGTCCGCCACGTTCACGGTGATGTGCTTCCTGCGTGCTCTAGAAGCTTCGATCTCTCGAAGGAGCCACCATGAGGCGAGGACGGTGGCAGCCACGGGTTGGCCTTTCACAAGCTGGCCCAACTGTGGTAGGGCTGCTACTTGCTCGAGTGGGAGCCCTCCTGCCTGCTTCGAATTGCCAATGCCCCGTCACAGCTGCCCGATAAGCTTGTCGCAGCTGGTCGCTCCATGGGAGGCCCTGTGCGATGTGGCAATTCTTGGCTGCGTCCAGGTAGAGCTGCGCGGAACGGTATCCTCCAACTTTCAAAGCCCCCATGACCGTGTAAATCATGGACGGGTCCAAGTGGAACGGATCGCTCCATCCTGCAGTTTCTGTCTGGACGCTAGCGGTCCTTTTGACGTGTCTGCGGAAGCCTCCTCTGCCAGCACTTGTCGACATCGCTGCGGGTCTTGCGCCGCTTTCAAGGCCGCTTCTGCCGAGCCTCGACCATATGGTTTCGGCTCACCCGGCCCAGGGTCGCGGTGTACTGCCCTCCACAGGGTGTGGCTATCCAGGCGGCCTCAAACATACCTTTGTCGATGTCGTCCTTGAGGAGGTCCCAGACCTTGTCATCGAGCAGGTTGGTCGGCCTTGGCATCGCCGTGTCGAGGCAGCAAACTAACCAGCCAAGGCGGGCGAGCTGATGAGCCAGGTCACCCTCTCGGGATCTTCCGGAGAAGACGATGAGAGCCCTTGGCTTGGTGGACGTCTGCCTAACGGTGCTGAACCAGCTCCCGTACTTGGTCGGGGGTTCCTTGAGCTCCACCACTGGTTTCAGCCCGGACCCAACGCTCCCCTTGCGTGCGGAACGGTCGGAGTGGTGCGTGGGTCTGGATGCTGACGTTCTGCTGCCTGGCCGGGCGTTTGCTTGGAGTCTTTTGGGCTGCGCACGTCTTCGCCCTTCTTCTGTTCGGGCTCAGTGCTCTTCCATCCTGCCTCTGCCGTTTGCCGTTGCTTCTTCGTCGGAGGTTGCTCCGGCGATTTGGGCGCAGCTCTCTTGCTTCCCATGTTCGGTGGGTCTTGATCAGCTGTTGAGGACCGGGCATGCCCACCAGTGCCCGACCCTTGTGGTTTTCAGTCAGCTTTGGATCCGCCAGGGCAGGCGCTGCCCTGATGCGGCCCCAGGCACCGATTGCATTGATGGCTCCTTTTGGCTTTGCATTTCCCTTGGGCCTGCTTGGTGCCACACTTGCCTTGGTTGTACAGGCGGCAGATCTCCACTCCTCTGCGGTTGTGGGTGTACAGCCCGGACTGATCCTGCTTGGAGTGGTTGTCGCCCTTGTAGGTTCGGTTGGACCTGCCTTTCCGGCGCTTGGGCTCGCCTCCAGGTTCGTGGTCTCCACCGTCGCCCTCTGCTGCGGTCGCTCTCTTGCTTCGTGCCAGGTAGAGCGTGGTTGGTGTTGTGAGTTCTTTGTTCCAGAACTCGGTGTCCTTCACAGCCGCTGCATAGCAGGCACACCACGGTGTGGCAGCTGTGTATCCGAATGCCGGGTTGGCGTGCAGTTCCCTTCGCAACCTTTCCAGCTGCTCGGATCTCATTCTGCTGTCAGCCTTGCACACGAAGGGCCAGGCTTCTTCGCCAAATTGCGTGATGAACCCGCGGATGTGCTCAGCGTAGGCATCCAACCTTTCAGCCTCCGAGGCCTCTAGCAGCAGCATCGCTGTCCTGTAACAGCGCCAGGCCTTGTACCAGTCGTAGAACGACGCAGGCCCTGGTTGCTCCTTTCGTCCCCATTCGCCCGTGGACACATTGAGGGTGTAGCTCTGGAAGGTCTGCCGTCGTAGGAGCCTTTGGCCATGTGGGCCAAAGACGCTAAAGTCCGCAAAGGGTACGGAACCCGATGCAATGACTTGGCTCAAAGCCGCCAGCTGATCCCTACTGACGTCGGCGTCAGTCGAGGGGAAGTCGCCGAAGCGGTTCTTGTATCGGTCATACATGGCTGTGACCTCCGCGTCCGCCAGGGCTTGGATCTCGGCATCCAGGGTTGGATCCAACACAGCACTGAGCTTAAGCTTGCGTGCTTGTGGTGCTGGTACTCCAGGGGCTGCTGCAGCGCCGCCTCCTCCTGCCGGAGGAAAGGGTGCCGGCATTCCGGCTGGAGCTGCCGGTCTTCCTGTATCACCTCGGTGGTCCGCCGGTCTTCCCGACCGAATGCAGCAGACTCGTCGAAGTGACTCCACCCGGGCATTCTCCACCGGCGTAAGTGGCCATTGGTGCAGGAGCGGGATCGCCGCCTTCTTGGATCTCCAGGTTGTCTACTGCGTCATCCCAGATCGGCCGGGATAAGTGCGATCTCCCGGGCACGGGCTGGGTCCCCAAGTGCGGCATTGAGGGTCCTTGCCAACACGCCATCCACACCAGACCATGCCTGTGCATCATCCAGATTGTTGATGCCCCTGAGCTCGTCCTCCGTGGGGTCGACCATTTGAGAGTGCAGGGCCCTCGTGCAACACAGGCGTGGGTGTAGATGCCCTTCTGCGTAACCTCCGAGCCGTAGTGGGTCGTGACCCGGTGTTGTTCCTCAGGCTGTAGTCCCTGAGACTATGGAAGGCCACTCCCAGCCGCCTCCTGCGGGCGATGAAGCGTAGGGCCTTCGCCGTCAAGCGCTCCCAAGCCAGCACAGCCTCCTGGTCTCCGCTAACCGTACGTGGTGTGGCCCGGAGGCAACAGCACCAGCACAAGAAAGCGCCGACCAGTCCGGCAGCGACCCAGGTCACCAGCAGGAACACCAGGAAGGACGATGCACTGCCGTCTCCTGTGTTCCTGCCGGCTTCCCAGATCACCACCTCCGCTGAGCCCATGCCCCGCTTGTGGTGCGCTGATTGCTTGAGCCAAAATGGCACGCAAGCACCACTTCCACACTATGACCTTGTCACTTCGACATTACATGTCATTTCTCAACAAAATGCATCTCCTGCCAAGTGCTGAGAATCCGACCGTGAGTTGATTGGCTAGGAGCTACTGCTCGAACTGGACTTCTTGCGCTTCACACCGGCAACACCAGCTTCCTCCCACAGGAGTCTCGATGAAGCTGTGTGCTTTGAAAAACTTTGACACCACAAGAACCCTTTTCATGTCCAGATCCCGAGCAAACCGCGCAACGAACATATGAGGTTTCCCAAAACCTGTGTGGCCCTGTCTTCAAACGTCCTTTTTGGAGAAGACTGAATGTTGGATGAAGCTAACGCTGATTCCACTGTTGGGTTGCAGCAGTCCATGACAATTGCGAAGTGGAACTTGAATTGCAGGGTGGGGTTGCAAAGGTCAGACAAGGTGCAAGGAGGTTGACAGGTCGGTGAATTGCGTATACCGTATACAGTACAATTTGCAAGTCACATGCTAGTCCTGGACCCTCTATAAAGTTGCATTTCAAGCAGGGCTTGCCTTTTGGGAGTGTGTGGGAAGAGGCCATGGCAAAGCATGAAAACAGGTCTTGTCACTGGCACTATTGGCCTAGCCTCGTTTAGTTTAATTGAGATCTTGTTCAATCTTGCACACATGGAAGTACTCTCTTTCGCAGGTTGACTTTTACCTCTCCTGGTAACTGGAGCAGGCATATCCAGGTATATATTATGCAGTACAAGGATGTACAAGGGTTCTAGCACGCTAGTAGGTTGGAGGCCATCGCTACTAGGGTGGAGGCCATCGCTAGTAGGTTGGAGGCCATCGCTATCTGGAAGGTCTGAAAGGATCCAAAAGGGGAATTGTTTGCCATGCGCTCCAGACTTCATGTTTGGAGCAACAGTAGCTCATTTGACAAACCTGACTGGAGCCAGTACAGTAGACATATTCAAATGTAGGCACTTGGATTACCATTGGATACCATCCGATACCGTTGGGCACCAGGGTCAAGCCGTTAAGCCTCTTGATCACATCTTAAATCGGGCATTTTGTTTGCAGCTCCTGCATTGCTCTTTCTATTTGAAGAAGTTTGGCCTCCTTTTTTGCTTTCTTCTCCTTTTGTCCGAACGAAGGGAAACAATAACAATGCCGGTATGCCCGGTATGCAGTATCAATAAGCTGTTGATTCAATATCCCACACCTTCTTAGCAACTTTCTTCTCCATCTTCTTCAGTTTCTTTGCTGCCTTTCTGATGTGATACAAGTAGGATAGAATATGATAGAATCATTTGACGATAGCTGATACAGCAAGCATCAGCAAGAGGCCTTTTTGGCTTTCTTGTCCTTCTTCTTCTCCTTCTTGTCCTTTTTCTCTGCTTTTGTGTCATCCTCAGACCTTCCCCAGTGGCACACAAAAGCCAAGAGAGAGAGAGAGAGAGAGAGAACATGAAGCCAAGAAAGTAAAAACAAATGGCTCTTTTTGGCCTGCCAGCAACCTCTTCCTCCTCCTTGGCTTCATCTTTCACCTGTGATGCCAAACTTGGAGACATTCGCTCAAGGAAGGGCTTTTAGGCAACAGTCTCTGCATTTACTGTATTCACTATGCACCAACAAAGCAATCATCGCTTTTGACCACGATTCCGTCTAAGACTCCACCAAGTCATTTGCTGAAAGCAACCTGAAAGCACAAAAACCTAACGGAAGGAGATATTATGAGATTACTTTTTGCCAAAATTATTGTTCCTAGTAGCTTCTTGTTACTACTAGTAAGGCACTTGTTACTAGTAGCGATGCACTTGTTACTACTAGCTTCTTGTTACTACTAGTAAGGCACTTGTTACTAGTAGCGATGCACTTGTTACTACTAGCTTCTTGAAACAACTTAAGAACTGAAAGTAATCTCAACACATTCTTGCAGAGCCCTGGTTCCCACGGACCATTTTTGCCCTTGATGGCGACAATCCCCACAAGTCTAGGCTGTCAGAGCAGCGCCCCCAAATTCTCAAGCTCTCTGCGCACTCCCCATGACCTCCGCCACATCTGTGCTCATTTGCCCATTCCGGGCAAGTTTGGCACAATTCAGCAGGCAATTGAAATGCGCGGACTGGGCAGCTCTGTGCACGTTGCTCTTGTCGACTAGTAGACTAGCAGACTGAAAAAGCCGTTGTATGACTTTTGACATCACAAAGGACCAAGCAAGGCATTCCACTCTCAAACAACTGCACCTCATGGCCCATGGCTTAAACTCGCTTAAAAAAGCCCTTTGGCCAGTCGTAGGCGATGTCACCCTTCGCAGCCCCAAGTGCCAAGGCCTGCGCAGCTGAAGCAAACGGGCCGAAGTGGATCTGCCCGCGACTCTGCAGTTGCAGTCGCTCTTTCGAGCATGTCCGAACCATTCCAAGCCCCCCTCTGTCTGGCAGGGCCTCTCTGACAGTCTTGCCCATCTTGTACTTCTCGTAGCGATCAAAGGAGGTGCTGCCTGCCTATGCGCAGGGCAGCTGCAGCAACAACGAAGCCAAGAAACCAATTGTTTCTGGTTGCGTGAGAACTATTGAGAACTGTCATTGGCAAGCCTTCTTTGGATTCACTTGCAAGAACCTGAAGTCGGACATCTCAGAATATCGCAAGACATGCAAAGCTGCCATTCTGTGTTTTGTGTGTGTGTGTGTTTTTTAAATCAGAATTCTGAACTTCTGATCATATTTTGCTCAGTACAATGTTTGAGGTACTTCCGAAAAAAAGCGGGTTCCGTGGAAGTGGTCCTTGGCAAAAAAACAAATTTTCTTGGTGTCTGGCTCAATAGGTTCGTCCAAACCCGGAGGTGCAGAGGTGTTCTCCACAAAGCCTACCAGTGAAGATAGGGATCGCATTGAAGCGGTGATGGGCGCAGCAGTATCATCAGTATCGTTTGAAGGCATACCAAATTGGACCAAAAGTATCGTAAAAAATACCGAATGTGAAGTTTAACGCAGCTCCAATGCTTTTATGAACAAAACACTCTTCTCTCATGCAACGCGCCTTTAGCAATGGACGATTTTGCCTCAATGTCACGAAATGTGTGGAAGTGTTGTCTAAATCCACACTGTCTGAAGACCGGTTTGGACTGGTCCAGCATGCCCATCTGAGATAAAAAGGAAGTATGAAGTAATATTCAATAGACCTTTCTTATAGCGATGGCCTCCACCCTACTAGCGATGGCCTCCACAGGGTAAGATTATGTAAGATTCACATTGTAACCTTCTGGACGATTCTGGCCTCTGCAACCGTCAGGTTTCGTGTTTGATGCTTGTATCTGCGGGAGTGGCCTTCGGACCATCTGCTTTTAGGGGTTCTGCTTTTCGCACAGCACCTGCCGTGGAATCCGCGAACAGCAGGAAACAGCAGCTGAACCACGTTCGGCTATCCTGATCTGTCGTGTAATGTATTGCAAATGTGTATTTGACCTCAATGTCTGACAATGTCTCGGCTACCAGTACCCAGTTGGATTTATTCCCAACTAAATTCCTCCTGAGCACTGAGAAAATCCATGACCCTAACTCTAACTTAGGGTGGAGGCCATTGCTCTTAGGTTGAAGGCCATTGCTCCTAGGGTGGAGGCCATCACTATTAGGTTGGAGGCCATAGCCATTAGGTTGGAGACCATCGCTCTTAGGGTGGAGACCATTGCTCTTAGGTTGGAGCACTGAAGAATTCCATGACCCTAAAACTAACTTAGCAAAGCAGCAAGGCCTTTGGCTTTCTTTTTGGCTTCGTCTTTGGCGCCCGGTTTCACCGCCTTGGGACTGAACCCAGATTCACTGTAGCTGCGCGGCTTTTCACTTTTTGCTCGAGAGTTCCATAATTATGGAGCAAGGACGCTACTAGGGGCTCCTGGCATCGCTACTAGGAGCAAGGATGCTACTAGGGGCTCCTGGCCTTACTACTAGGAACAAGGACGCTACTAGTAACAAGGACACAAAGCAAATGATGTTCCATGTCTTGGGCCTCTGGGAGGTTGTTTCTTCCTTCCTCTTCTGGTGTCTCTTGCTTCTCCCGCTTCCTCTTCTTGGAATCCTGCCGCGCTCAGGCGTAGAGTCGTAGAGCCCCAAACAAATGCTACAACTCGGCTGATACGAGCAACACATTGTTGTTTTCAGAGTTTTTCACATCAGTCGGAAAAAATGCCTTCTTGACCTGTACGAAAAACAATGTTTTTTTTGTTTGAACGCGTGCACAATCTTGTCAACACCCCTCTTCACGGCACCTCCACAGGCTCGGATTTGCGAGCGACTTTGGCCTTGAAATTGCTCCGGAAATGCCACTTGAAGCTACTAGGGGCTCCTGGCCTTACTACTGAGAAGACACATCTACATGTTTATGCGAGGGGGCCTCTTGTCTTGAGGGGCTTTGCATATACACGGTCGACGTTGCCCTCCAAAAACAATCATTATATAACATGTATAACTGTATAACACATGTATTAATTTACTGTGATTATACATGTTGGAACATGTCTACAGGGGCACCTCGTATATCATTTTCTTCTTCAGGCTTGCAGGTAACCTAAGTTCTCTCAAGTGCGCTAGGGGTGTTGCGGAGGCAGCACTTTTGTGGCCTCAGAAACATGCAACTGCTTACACACACATCTGCAAAAGTCACTGGATTTCCCGGCTGAGTGTTCCTACGTGGCAAACACATAAAGCCGCTTGGTGCACCTGGTCATGCAAGTTCATGGCTTGGGAGCTGACTGGAAGATGGAGGCGCCACAGCCTCCTCCTTAGCAGACTTGTGAGCACCAAGCATCAACGAAATCAAACAAAGAAGCAAAATCAGCACAGCATGAGGAACAAAAAAATATGGCGTCTCTCCCTCAGCCATGACCAGGCCAGCCTTCGGATCAGGCTCCATAAACTCTTCCATCTTTGGGAAGCACAGCAGCTCCACCTTTCGGGACGGTAGAGGTCACTTTCAATTCAATTCTAATTCAATTCTAATTAAACTCAACCCCGGTGGCGTCCTTGCTCCTAGTAGTGAGGTCAGGAGCCCCTAGTAGCGTCCTTGGACTCGACTATATTGCGGTTACAGTTACAGCATCTCTTGCTTAGACACAAGTATAGTCTAGCAACACGATGGAGTGATTGGATTGTCTTGTTGAAACACACACGGCACCAAACATCTAAATGTCAAGCCAAACCCTCATCAAAGTCTTCAGCGGATCCTGATGGCCTTTCTGTGCGTAAAATGTTTACCTTGAATCATTGGTTCAACCCAAACTTTGCACTGAACTGTGCACATGTATGCCTCTGGTTGCTTGAGACTGCATGAACCTGTCTTGAGAACATGCCTGCTTTGAGGGATCAAAGGAGTAGTCTGCTGGTGTCTTTTGCAAGTCCAGCTCATCGCCATTCATCTCGAAGCCGACCTGGCAAGTCATCAGTCAAAAATAACTTATAGTGATATGCAATCTGAGCAAACAAGTTTCAAACTCATCAAACAATTTGGATGTGTTTTACCTTTTTCCTTCCTTCCTTCTTTGCAAGAAGTAAAAGCAAACATGTCCGCGGACCGACTTCTCTGGGACATGATGAAAGTTCCTGAGACCCAATTAATAGCAAAACTGCTATAAAAGAGATTTGTACTACTCTTGTTCAAACATGTTCTGCTATTCTTTGTTCAAATTTGTGCTTTCAAAGAGATTGGTACTCGTTTGTTCGCACATCTTTGAGGCATTTTGCCTCAATCAAGTATGATGGTGTCACTTCACTTGCTCAGTTTAGCACGCCCACTTGCATGCCAGCTGGCTCAAAGGGGATGCCAAAGCGCAGCTTCCCTGAGCGGGAATGCAGCAAATTTCAGGTGCTTGGACATACCTTCATTGTATGTCAGCACCTACTAGGGGCAAGGAAGCTACTAGGGGCCCCTGGCCTTACTACAAGGAACAAGGACGCTACTTGTGACAAGGACGCTGTAACAAAGCATAACGGTTTCTCGTTTTCCTTGGGAGTCTTTGGGAGCGGACCTCGCCCTTCGCATTGGTCATCTCACTGATCAAAACATGTCACCGCACCGCTCAAACCAAACTTGCTTTGATGCCCATTCCTCATTCCTCTCTCTTCAGGGCCAGAAAGAAATTCACATCTCTAAAAGAGAGAACTCTCTGGGAATACTTGGAAACTACCCATCTGAAGGCTCCCTTCCCGGCCTTCCATTGGTGCTGAGCATCTTCGCTCGACAGAGCGAGCACCAGGAACTGGACTCCTAGTGAGTCGTGAACCGGCCAGTCTGAGCTCTCAAAAACTGAAACTGTAAAGGTCTTCAAAGGTTCTCTAGAAATGCCCTTAGCTACGAATAGTTTCTTGTTACTAGTAGTAATGCCCTTGTTACTAATAGCGATGCCCTTGTTACCACTTGGATTTTAAAAAACATTTCTGAACCTGTCTCACTTTGATCTCAAGTCGACAGGCCTGCTGGCCGGCATGACATCCTTAATTGTTTGCAGTATTTGCAACGGCAACAGGCCAAGGTATGATAAGTCTTGATGAACAGCACTATCATCCTCAAGGTAGAAGGCACACATCCGGAGGCCAGAACTTGAAGAAACAAATGTCGGGTTAAGTTCAGAGGTCCTTGCGTTGCCTTGGCTGCCTGACATGAGTTGTCGTCAATAAGCAGCCCTTTATAAGGACGTCAAGAGCCAGGGCCGGCCACTATCAGGACGGACAACGGACCAACCAATGACGACGCCCAACGACTACGACGTCACGACCAAGCCGGCGGCATCACGACCTGACCAACATCCGACGACTGTAGGAATTGATGCTCCTTTATTTGGTGGTGCTGGTGGTTATCAATTTATCAATTGATACACCAGTAGGTGGTCGTTCGGAAGTTGGTGAATCATTGAGGTCTGCGTGGTGGAAAACAGCAGGCTCGCCCACGTGGAGATGTTGCGCCAAAAACTTGCCCCGCAAGGACATCAAGATGGGGCGACGTAGCATGGAAAGCCAGGAGCATTATATATTTCCTGAAGCGTCAGATCTTAAAGCAGCTGGACCAGCCCGGTCAGCAGCCGCCAACATTCTGATGCCAGGGGTTTCAGGGTTCAAGGCGTCGCCTTGCTAATCGGCTGCAAGACCGGTGGCCGTGACGGAATGTCCGACTAGGAGAGGAGGCTCTGAAAGTGCCGCAGAAGATCCCTACCCAGTATGCAGGGGGGGACCTGAAAAAATGTAACTTACATTTTCCTGTTCGAGGGTGCCTGGAAAATGTAAGTTACACTTTCTCAGAAAACCCTGGAAAATGTAAGTTACAATTTCCTGGCATCCACAGGCAGAAAATGTAACAATCTGCAAAAAATGTAAGTTACAATTTCCAGGCAGTCTGCCTGCAACTGTAACTTACATCTTGAAGGTCATAAACTGCAGCATGCTGTAGCAGTTTTTCCCTCTGCGCTTTTCGCAAGTGCCCACCTGCTGTTGTGTTGCCTGGGGCACACTTAGTTACATTTTTTATCACCCAAAAAAAAGCATCGGGGGGGGGTGCAAAAATGTAACATAGGCCCTGGGAGGTCCATAGTTACATTTTATAGGCCCCCTCCCCCCCCCCTCCAGAGACCCTGAAATCTTGCCTGGGGAGGGGGTTGTTACATTTAGGGTCCCCCCCAAAAAATGTAAGTTACATTTTTGAGGTCCCCCCCCCTCGAAAGCGTCGCCACATCAGGAATTTCGGGGCCACTACCGCCCGTATCTGTCCGTTTTGAGTCATGCACCTGGAGTCGGGCCAAGGCAGTCTCGAGCGCCTGCAGCTTGCTAGGCAGATCAAACTCCGGGACCTCCAGGAGCATAAGCTCCGGGCCAGGGTCCGAGGCTGAAGGAGACAAAGGAGGCTTGAAGTGGGCGATGGCCTCACTATGCCCCACTTGTTTAAACAACGGTCTCCAGGATACGCTCTTGCCAGCAGCGTCCGTCTCCGAAAAGGTGAGACCGTGTCCGCTCTGTCCAAGAGACCCCAATCGAAGAGATCCGGCATGGCAACGCAACGAAAACACTTAAAGTCACAAAAGTGAAGGGTTATTACCCCAAATTAATTTCAAGTTGGCACTCCGGTGATCTCCTGTGCCACCCGAAGCTTGAGCCAAAGTGGCACCCATTTTGGCTAATGAAATGTACTCAGTAAACATTACACGCTTTCCGCGTGCTCCAAGCATGTATAAATGAATCGTCGACGTCGGCGACGCCACAGTGACGACGACGTCACCGAAGCATGACGTCGTCGTAGGTTGGGTCATTGACGGCGACGACGGCAGACGACGACGGACCTGACCGCGCATGATGAAGGCGTTGAAACACCGGGATTCCTGCTCCTCCGGCCATTAAACTTTCAACTCCGGCTGCAACGCCATCACAGAGGTAGCAGAAACTGCACTGGAGGCGCTCTGGGCTGCGTTCTTGAGAAGCAACATATTCACCCCATCCTTGCAGTTGGCACTAAGTCACTAAGTTGTTTAAATGCGGTGCTTTTCCCTGACTATACTGGGAAGGTATCATGTCAAAACATGAAGGACCTAACTCATGTCATCTCACGTTCTAGAAGTCTGTGTCCTAGGCAACTTGTTTCTTGCCAAAAATGCTCCTGAAAAGCTGCCAGCGAGAAAAATGCAAATCAGCCTCATCTCAAGCCCTTGCTGCTGAGATGCATCTGATCTCAACACAGGAAATACATTTCAATGTCTGTTTGCGCACAACTTGCACGAAACTGTAGGAAAGTGCAATCGATGAACTGCAACAGTCCATGCTTGTTGGAACACATCGGCGCCAGCACCTCTGATTCAACTTTCGAGGACCCTGTCAGTGCTCCAAGCACAAGTGCAACCCAAAAAACAATCCCGCGCTAACAGAAGTATCACCTAATCTGTAGGCATCGGATATACGATGATATACGTATGCATTTCAGTTCGCATTGTCCTTCAACGTTCAGCACCTCAATTTTCGATACCGATGAAAAAGCGGCGACGTGATTCTGACTAAGTGCTTGAAACCTCCCTACAGCCATTCCCAATCATTTTTTCTGTGCCCCTTTTCTTTATAGGCTTTTTAATACTATTCATATATTTGTCTTATTTAACTGCCAGAAACTCTGTCGCAACTTCTTTAGCCGCCACTGCTCCTCAACCCTGCCTGACGCCACGGCATCAATTTCAGTTTTCACCTCCAATGCTTGGACCACGAACAGCCATGGTCAAAAGTATGCCAGGCACAGTCGTTTCTTCCATCCGCGCAAGGCACCGTCGTTGGACAAACTTAACTAAACACCTTCTCTTGCAGACGAGATGAACAAAGCTCTGCACAGGATTTGGAAACCTTGCTCAAGCGGCGTCACACAGCCAAGCAGCGCCTCAGTCTTGACTTCCAGTTTCATGACTTCGCCTTTGACCGGAGCCTGCCGTCCGTACTGGCGGTGGGTGGATGGTCTTGGACAATCAACAGTTGGAGCTTAGTAACTTTGCAATCAGTTTGGAATCACTTCAGCCCTATGTTTCCAAGTAGTTTTATCTGCCTTTACTACCAGCTGCTTTCGAGTCAACATCATCACACCTTCGGAAGCTCTTTCAGCCCTTTCAGCTCCGATTCCTGATGTGAGACGCTGCAAATCAGTCAGGCGTCCCTGAGAATTGTGGGTTACTTGGGCGATGTGGGCATGTCCGCCTCAAGGCATTCTAGGAGTCCCAAGCACGTCTTAGCATGTGTTGGTTTGGTTTCCTTCTAGTTTTTCCTTCAGTGATGCATATCAGGATGTGATGCACACCATATCTTTTGCAAACCCTTGGCATGTCTCTTATGTCCTTCAGGATGCCTCACCGGTGATCTACTCTGTCGACGGAGTGAGCTAGAGATAGAAAAAACTTTGAAATCCCTCAAACAAGGCCCCCTTCCTTTAAAATACTGTGTTGTTCTTATTGCTTGTTGCTTCTTCATGTTTTTTCTATATTCCCCCAGATAGCTGGAAGCTATAGGGGTTCTTACTTCTCAATGGATGAGTTCCGGATTGCGGAATTTGGCTGCCGCTGCCGCCTTGTTTCCCAAGTTTTTGGCTGCCGCTGCCGGCTTGTCTCCCAAGCTTGTCTCCCTTCATGACTTCGCTCTTGGCTGCCGCTGCCATCTTGTTTCTCCAGCTTGTCTGGCTGCCGCTGCCGCTGCGTTTCCTTCCTGATTTCGCTCTTGGCTGCCGCTGCCGGCTTGTCTCCCAAGCTTGTCTCCCTTCATGACTTCGCTCTTGGCTGCCGCTGCCGTCTTGTTTCTCAAGCTTGTCTCCCTTCATGACTTCGCTCTTGGCTGCCGCTGCCGGCTTGTCTCCCTTCATGACTTCGCTTTTGGCTGTCGCTGCCGCCTTGTCTCTCAAGCCTTCTTGGCTGCCGCTGCCGGCTTGTCTCCCAAGCTTGTCTCTCTTCATGATTTCGCTCTTGGCTGCCGCTGCCGCTGTGTTTCCTTCCTGATTTCGCTCTTGGCTGCCGCTGCCGCCTTGTCATTTTCCTGCCTGCCTTTGACGCGGATGCTGTTATAAGATGATTTAGGTCTTGTTTACCTTTTCCATCCTTTTTCCGGCTTTGAGTGGGATGTCTCCCAAGCTTGTCTCCCGCTCTTGCCATGGTGTCCAACTTTTCTTGAAGTGCTATCTGGGGTCTATGCCGGTATAAACTCTTTTATAGACTTCTTGACTTCGGAATGCTCCTTTTCCGCACTCATTGATGCTGTGGCGCCGCACCGTCCCAAGGGTCTGGGCTTTGATCCTCTCCAGCTTGGCATCGCGGTGCGAAGCGAACCTGGGAGACCAAAACGGAAACCACATGGGGGGACAACCGAAGCAAAAACTGAACATAACTGTTGCATCAATTGGTTTGTTTGATGCATCATGATTAACCACCCTATATATGAGCGACCAACAAGACTAGAGGCTCTGGGTGGAAATTCTAAGGTACAGTAGATGTCGTTTTTCTGACTGTTATCGTTTTTTTTAACCGGTTGCTTATTTCTATTTGGGAAGTATCGCCTAGAGTCTACACGTAAAGTAAACAACCTGTCCACTTCATGAATGCTAAGGCACGCCAATATACGCAAACAGGAAGACCAAAGGCCAACGGTATCAGAATGTATCTAGCTTCTATGTCCAGGAAGGAGACTGCAAGTAGACAACTGACATGACGCCAAGATGTGTGCAGTCACAAGGCTAGGTATCGGCTTTGGGGTTGATATTATTTCAATCACAGTGACAACTTCCATGTTTTCTCAACATGTGGGCTCGGAACTTTTGCAATTTGCTCATATTATGTTTTTCCCCGGGTAGCTGAAAACTTTCGAGCTTCTTACTTCTCAGTGACTGGGTGGCTGATCGGCGTTTTGGTCCACTGCTGCCACTGCTGCCTTGTCTCCCCACTTGTCTCTTTACATGTCTCCCCAATTGTTTGCCTGTGTGATCGGGGCTTTGTCTGCAGCTGCTGGCTTGTCTCCCGATATGCATGTCTCCCGGTTTGCCTCCCCACTTGCTTGCCTATGTGATGACACTGTTGTTTGCCGCTGCTGCCGTGTCTCCCCACTTGCGGGCGCGGAGCGCACAGAAAAACATGACATGATTTGTGGAGTCACGCAGACAGGTGTTGTTGGGCCCACTCACTGTCATGGGAAGCTCTCATGGATTTTGTGTGGCTTACTTGATTATTGTCTCAGGTGCTTCTGTTGTTAAGAGTTGGTTGCTATCTGGGGTCTATGCTGGTGTATTTTTTCAGGTGGGTTGCAATTCATTCACTTAAGCCAGGAAGCATAACGATGCATAAAAACAAACAAGATTGATTGGCAAAGGTTGAACCGCGCCACCTGCTTCCTGACACTTCAGGCATCCTCTCTAATTTCACCCGGTCATAGGTGATTGGGTCCAAGATGGTCCAGTGTCTAAGTTTCACACCCCAAGCCTTTCAGAGTTCCATCTCGCACAGCTTGTGCCATTTGGTCTTCGTTGCTGGTGACTACCTCATGCTCTTGAAGGCACCACTCTACCGTGCTTCAGAACCTTGCCTAGGCCTTCAAGAATCCACTCTGTACTTGTGCAAGTCATCTTTCTGTTTAAATCTTATCATGACAAACAACTTCTTGCAGTATGCCAGTGTCGAAGCTCCCGTCTCTATCTTTCGAGCCTCTTCACCAAGCTCATTCCGCATGACTTTCTTCTGAGGCCCCATAGCCTCGCGCAGACTACTACAGTATGGACGAAATGTAAAGAGCTCGACAGGTCTGAGCGACACAAGGCTCGCAAAAAGATATGCGAAAGACCTCGCGGCCCTCATCATTCTTCTTCGCTTTTAAGAACTCCTGGAAGCTTCGGCGAGCAAAATGCCCTTCTTGGTGACGCTTCCATGTTTGCTACCTTCATTGGATTCATTTCATTTCCCCTCTTTCACATGTCCATGGACTGGCAAACCACCAAATCCCTGAATCCACATCCTTGAGCTCTTCCTGGCAAACAAATGCAAACAGCACAGACTTGGAGTTTCTGTAAATACGTTTCTACCTCTTTGTGAGTACATGTGAAGAATCATGAAGAATCCATGAGCATGCATGAGCATGCAACATCGGTTGGAAGAATCTACCCAACTTGGCCAGCACGGGCTGAAGCGAACACTGGGCTGAAGGAAAGCTAGCGCTGCATGTTCACGTGCGAACGCGGGGTGTTTGTGAATCGGGTACCAAGGAAGGAAACAACTGCCAGCAAGTTGGCTCAGATCTATACACGCCTGCAAAAGCGCTTTCGGGAATCAGATCTCAGTAATGGCAGCAAACACAAAGATCGCTTCAAAGGAATTATTCCCTTTGGTCACCAGGGCAGAACAGCCTGGTTAGAGGCAGTTTTGATCATTGAGCCCGCTGTACTGGTGGCCTGGGGGTGGGGTGATCAATAATAAAATCCCAGCTTTTGATTCTGATTGGTTTGATTGATGTCAAAATTGTCTTGCCTTGGGGAGACAAACCTGTCTCTCATTCGCACGATGTAACACGGTCGTAGGCCCAGCGCGGGAGAATTATTGCCAAAAAAGGATTTGTCGTGTAAAATGTCTGACCAGCGTTGCGCCGGCACTGATGGGCAGATACAAAAAGATAAAAACAATAAGTATTATATAATTAATTAGTATTAGGTTATAGTAACGGGCTGAGCGCTGGCACATAAGACAACGCAAGTAATGAAGATGCGATGCCACATGATGCCACAATGTGGTGTGTGCTGAATTCCAAAAGCACCTTGCAATCAAAAGAGATACAAAAAAGAATACGAGGAGGGGGTAGAATTAGGCCTGCAATATCTGCTATTCTTCATCAGCTCATGACAGTCCAAGATCGAAGCCTAAAAAGAGCCCTTCCGTGTCTTTTCCACATGTCTCCAGAACCCAAGTTTGGACCCAACAGGCAAACGACCGACGAGCATCTGGCACTGTGTATCTTCACCTCATTCATCTGCTTCTTGGCCAGGAGAAGCTTCTTTGGCTTAAGTCCCAAGGCCTGGAAGGAAAGGTTAGCCGCTTAGCCGCCATCGCTGTGGCCAAAAAATGGGCAGGAATTGGCCCTTTGGGAAATCCAACGAGCGGAAATGTGGGAATTAATATGGTTCCCTTCTGTCTTGCAGCTTTGAAGCCCTGTCCAGGCCCAGGCCTCCTGCATCAATTCTTCTTCGTATGCCTTTGGTCAAGCTGTCCGTATCAGCAGCCCATTCAAACAAACATGTCACAATGCACAAACATTGTCATGGTTAAGTCAAATGCACAAAGTAGGATCTACTAGCTTAACCGCATGTTCACTCAAGAACACTTGACCCAACTCTCAAGGTGATGGCCTGCACTGCACCTCGCTCTTCTGCAATGCTGGCCTGGGATGCTTTATGCAAGCAAGCAGCAGGCACAGCCAAAGTCTGGGGGTACAAATGACATCAAACGACCCTAGTCGTACTACGTACTTACAAGCGAATGACCTCCAGCACACCCTTCCCCCCACAAGGCACTTGCTTCAGCGGCTCTTGGGCAAGGCACAGTAGTGTCCCGCTTTCTGGCATACCAGTCGTGCAAGTAGTACTTTCCAAACTTGCCCATTTGGCCAACCTGCTGTGGCTGAGGTTGTGCCGCCCAAGACTAGCCAGGACAGTCAGGTAAATGTGCTATGGAAAAGCGCCTTGGTGGACTGGCCAAGGTATGATTCCCGATCCTCGCATTCCAGGCTTGCTACTAGTACATAATGGGAAATGGCAGTGGAAGCCTGCCAGCGCAACAAATGAGGTCCTTGAACTCCTGCTCCTTGATGGAGCCCCATGTGAACTGCTCTCGTCCACCGCGGCAGCCATCTTTAATGCGCACCTAATTGCGAACAACCGTAAGATGTGTTTTGGTGCGCTCTCACTGCGATGGCTGCGTTGCTACGACGAGTAAAGTGTAAATACTCTTATCAGGGGGCAGTAAGGAGGCAAACAAATGACCACTACCCCTTACTCACAGTAGTTAGAAGAACGTGTTCGTTTTCTTCAACTACAGTAAATGGATGGTATCACTGCTCGGGGCTACACGCTTAGCATCCGTTGAGCTGGGCCATAAATTAGAGCGTAGCTCTTCCAGCCTTCACGTCCACCATAGCGGAATTGAGAAGGGTCGAGATGCCAAGACGAAAGTGCTTTGATGAAGCTTCTCTTTATGAACATCTTCTCTTTGGCAGCTTGCTTGCACATCCTGGACCTGGTCAGAGGTGCCTCCTTGCTATTAACATGCTACAGTTGAGGTCTGAAACCTGGTCTGGTGGTAAGTGTGCGGTGTTAGTGTCTATCTGTTGGTGCAAATGAAATCTCTTTGCCGTGCGTGGCGGTTGCTCATGCACGACAGTTGAGCCTGACTGTTCTGGTGAGCAAGTAGCAATTGAGGTTGAATGCGACATCCTAATAGCGATGGCCTCCAACCTTCTAGCGATGGCCTCCAACCTAATAGCAATGGCCTCCAACCTAATAGCGATGACCTCCAACCTTCTAGCGATGGCCTCCAATCATAGCAATGGCCTCCAACCTAATAGCGATGGCCTCCAACCCAAAAAGAAAAAAACATCATGAAACCATATGAAACCTATTGCATACATGATCTCACCTTGTTCCAGCATCTTGTTTCTAGATGGAGCCTCTGGGTTACCAGTTGGCTACAGGACCTGACAAAAAGAGGCTCTGTACAGCCATGACGGCCATCAGGCGATTCACTATGGCCCAATTTCAGCCAAGTAGACAGCAACAAATGCCATTTGTACAATATTTTGAGGAAAACGAGCCGTGTTGACTCGTACGTACAGATCTGAGAGCCCATCAAAGCTAAAACAACAGCCCTCGTCCTCAAGACAGTTTTTGAAGATTGCATCTCTGACTTGACATGGTTTGACTACCCCTTGCTACTAGAGCCGCTGCCGGATGCTCAATGAGCTCAGCCTTTCAAGCTTTGAGGTCAGCTGCTTCCTCAGCCTTCACTGCTTGAAATGAGCTGACTTGGACCTCTACAATCAACCCGAAAATAAGCAGCGAACTAAAAGAGGAATGGCATTGACTGAAATATGAGGGCAAGATGGGAAAAGTACAAGCAGCATACATCCTCCGTTGATCATGTGGTTTGTTCAAGATGCCTTTCAATTTGTATGTTTACATAGATATCAGATATCATAAAGCTACTAGGAGCAATTGGCATCGCTACTAGGAGCAAGGACGCTACAAGGGGCTCCTGGCCTTACTACTAGGAGCAAGGACTCTACTACAAGTAGGGGCTCCTGGCATCGCTACTAGGAGCATTTTTGCTACTAGGAGCTTTATGTTTAAGATCCTCTTCACTCCGCCTCTTTCGGCGGCTCCACGGGGTCTGGGAGGCGATTGCGGCGCTCCAGCGGCAGGACACCTGGAACAAACGAGATGGTACAAAATATTGAAACAAAAAGCAGGTAAGAACAACGTGGGTGATGTCGTGTTCAGATTCTGGAACTTTCCCATGCCACTCCTTCACCGAGTAAAGAATGTAAAAGCAGTAGATAGGTTCTGAAGCCTATGCGAGAGAGAGAGAGAGTGTGTGTGTCTTGTCGTTAAGAAAAGGGATGCTCCCTACCTACATCAGGTGCAAACTGCATCCAACTGTGACAAATCTTTCAATTCCAAGGTCCCTGCTAGCATGTGGGGCTGGTACCTGCCGCAGCGGTGGTAGCCACAGCACTTTGCCTGGCCCGCTCTTGCTAACCACGAAGATGAAGTTTATTCTAGTTTATTGATTCTTCTGATACATTTGGAGGATTGATTGTATCCAAAACATCCAAAACCATTCCCCCTTCAATCAACTTCGAGCTTGGACCAGGAGTTCCCAATCTCCTCAAACCCAGCCAGAGAGGCTGACAGACTGGCCGGCCCCACCGACTCACCGACCCAACCAATCACAGCCAGCAGTTTTCTTCCAAGAAACTGACAAATTATGCACGTGTCAACTTCATGACAGTCGTTGCCCTTCACAGGCACTAACAACTCCAATCTAACTCGGATTGAATGAAACCCTGCGCGGCCTTTTGGCTTGGGTGCTGGCGATTTATGTCTCCTCCTATTTCGCTCCTGTGCGCAAAGGCTTATCAAAGAAGTAAGCAAATTTGCAGAACACCCACATTTATATACTAGACACACAAGCACCACCAATAGCCCAGATTGCATTACCTACAGTACCTCCAAGCAAGCCACAGTCCTTCATCGGAAACACTAAGACTTGCCGAGGCTTGCTGCTCGTACGCCGCGAAGCCGCATGGGCCTCCTTCGACATGCCTGGAAAAGGTCACTATCGAAGTGTCTAGATTCCAAATACTATTCCTAATGCTTTGTGGGACAGTCCCATTGTGCTCTGAGGCAAAGCGTCCGTTTGGGCAAAACTGTGGTCTTATAAGCAGGTAGGCAGGTTGAACCCGTTTGAACTTTTGAATCCAATGAATGCCCAACCTCGAACCCTTTTCGGACTCGCAAGACCATTGTTGAAGATAGTCTCTGCCTGGCGGAAGCACGATCAAATTCTCTCACACAACGGTTTCATTGCCAAAAAGACAGCATGTCGGAGGAATGTCAGCTAACCTCGAAACTGCTGATTACTGCTATTATTTGATCTATTTGAGATTTGAATGGGCACTTGTCGTGGCCCGAACAGATAAAATTATATAAGTGAAATAGCTTCGTTGAAAGCCTTCTTTCAGGGCCTCGAGGGCATCACTGGCACTGGAGGCAGTGCCCGCAGTCCCAGGAGGCTCAGAGGATCCCATCCAAGTCGAGCTGGTGCCTGGCCAGGACGCTACGTTCGGGGCTCCTGGCATCGCTACTAGGAGCAAGTGCCTTACTAGTAGTAACAAGTGCCTTACTAGTAGAAGAAGCTACTAGGAGCAAGGACACTACTAGGAACAAAGGGCATCGCTACTAGGAGCAAGGACGCTACTAATTCATATCTGCCCTGCCAGGAGACTTCATCTGATCCGCAGATCTCTCTGTCTAATCCTCTCTGATATCTCTCATCACCTGTTTCTTGTTACTTCAATCTGCTTGACCAGGGTAAAATGTGCTGAATTAGAATCCAATAAAATCATCAATAAATGTAATTGAAACAAACATGATTTTTGATGTGCTTTTATGAAAGCCTTGGACCCATTTGGACATAGTTCGATCCTCCAGGCGTCATCTTCACTGGGCTCTGGCGGAGAGGACTCCAAGAGCGGACCTGGAAAGCGATGGATATCCATGGTGCCACGATGTGCCACGTGCCACGACCAAAGTCACCAAGTTGCACCGCTTTTAAGGATGTTTAAGGCTGTGCATCGACAGGTGCATTACAGGGGGAGCCCTTACTTAGGTCGAGCGCAGGCCGTAGACCAATCTACAAATCCAGCACCCACTCGGAGTCGCTTGGCGCCTCTGGCCGCAGCTGCTCCAGAACATGAGGCAAGGCTAAAGCCCTTAGCTCCAGAATGGTTCAGGCACAGCTGTATCATTGTAGCTGCACTCATCCTCAATCTGCTGCCGATTACAAGTCAACCATGTTTGTATCTAGTTGCATCGAGGTATGACACATTACTGTAAAGTAATTTGCTCTTCATGTTGCTGCTTGAAAGGTTGAAACCCTGGAGTGCTTCCGTTTCTTCCGTTCCTTCCCAGCTGAGAGGCCGATTGGTGGCCTTCTCCGCCACCTAGCAGCTGCTAGCGAGCGCTCAGCTCACATGGTTTCCAAATCTTTCCAACAGTCTCCAGACTAACAGTAAAAACACTCAGTAAGCAGCGCTCAGGCGAATGTAAGCGGCACAAGCTCTGGCGGCCCCGGCCTCTTCTTTCTGTTGGGCAGTAGGGCTGCTAGCACCACTGTGCATTTGTAGCAAAACCTGCCACCCCTTGTGCTCAAAGAAATCCATACAAAGCCTTCATCTTCAAACCAAAGCAGTGCACAGCCTCCTCATCAATTCGAGCTTCTTGCCGGCAGCTATGATAGTTCCTTGGACGACAACGCATCTGCAAAGTAAGCTAGTTGATGGTTTTACATCACATGGGTTCACCATACTTACTTTCCAGGCAAAGCCTGCTTAACTTTGTGTCTGATCGTACAATCGTATGTATGTGGTTCCAAGCGAAACTTTACTGTACTATCTATATACGATGGAATCGATTCTGACGTTTAAACCTTATTGACGAGCAAGACTGTTTGAAGAGAAGGAGGAAACAATCGATGGAGAAAGAAAAACGTCTACAGGTCTAAAAAAGAAAGAAAGGAACCATGAGAGAAAAAGGACCGACAAAACTTTTTTGCAAGGAAAAGGCAGCCGAGGCACAGTACATAGCCGTGCCGCTTTGGCCTCTTCCGCCTTGGCACTCTTTGTGCAGCCGTCGGCGGAGAGGGGGGGCGCCAACGCCACACGCTGCTCCAGCAAGGTCACGAAATACCTCAAATAGTGCGATGTACGGGTACTATGTTTCCTTTTCCGTGCGTGCTTTGCCTTCTTCAGCCCTTTTGACATTTGTTGCAAGTCAAGCACACGTTCTCGTCAAACATAAACAAAATTGAATATCAAGAAAACTGGTTATAGCCAATATTGCGCACGGGTTAAGATCAGTACACCATGTCTGGACGTTTGGTGGTTGAGGAAACGGACAAACTGTTGGCCTGTGCAGGAATGTTCTCTCAGGTCTTTCCAAAATCCAAAAGCCCACAAGCTTGCTGCAATGCTGTGAACTTGAATGCGCCAGCGCGATGATTGCTGTACAGCACTCTGAAGGCGGTTTGTGGTTGTGCTCGAAGCCCGAGAAGCGAAATCTAGCTAAATAACATTAAATCATAGCGACTAGGAGCAAGAAGCTACTAGGGGCTCCTGGCCCTACTACTAGTAACAAGAGGAATCGTCACAAGGCATCCATGCGAGCCTGACTCCAGGGTCCGCTGCTTTGTTCGGCTTCCCGGCACCTTGCCAGCAACTCATCCATCTCCTGTCACAAAGCATGCAACATGCGCACACGAGGGCTCGGAGCACTCTCAGCCCAGGCAATCGTCGAAAGGTGCAAGGATGCAAAGGACAACTTTCACATCAGGTCAGCGATATCAGGTGTGGTGTCATCAGGATAATGTTGGCCCTGCAGAAAGTTCAATAGTTAGGCTGCATTACTAGTCCTGCTCCACGCTTGAGGGCAGTGCAGGAACCTCCGCATCCTCAGTGTCTTGTCCTGCGAAATTCCATCTGAGAGTCTCATAGCTATGTCTTTACTATACCATTCT